AATTAATTGATCGCTCAAATAATTATAAGTAATTTTGTAAACTACTTGTATGTAATTAAATTTATGCAGTATTTTTGAAGTATTAACGACATTTTTAACAGAACTAAACATACAATATAATTTTAAATTGTACTTTTTTATAAAATAATATAAATTATAGCAATAATTAACATAAAGTCACAAATAATCGCTAATTCATTTTGATGACGATAATTCTTCTGATTATCTTGAAATTTTTTTATTCTTCTCTTTCTTTTTTTCAATTAAAGCTTTTTTATTAGCTTGTAACTCTTTTTTATTTTTTTAATTGTTTAGCAATTTTTTCTTCTAATAATTCGTTCTTTGATATAACCGTTCACTAAAAAAATTAGAACAAAATAAAATTTAATAATCAAAAAAGATTTTAAGTATTATTTTAATTATAAATATACATTTTATAATGATTATTTTTATATTTACAAAATATTGAATGACTAAAGTACTTTAAACACTTGACAGATTTAATTTTGAGGTGAAGAAGTTAGTATTATAAATATACGGTCATTAATTGGATTGTGATAAAATCAGAGGGTCTAATAAATGACCGAATGAATTTTTGACTTGGTAAAGGGCTTCTGACGGATCCAATAGTTGACCGGTCTTAAAATAATATTAAAACTTATAATTTAACTTTATTTTTTCAAAAAAGTTGGAATCTGATCTTTAATTAACATACTAAAACTAAAATATTTTATATTATGCCGATAAATATCACTAAATTAATGATGAAATGCACTCACTCTCCAATTGTACGGTAGTTATTTTTGACCGCTTTATGGCTGGTTGCGTTGTAAACAAACTCTGAATATTTTTTAAAAGCTATAATCACTGTGCAATTAATTGTGTAATTTTTTATTATGATGATTAAATGCCATATTTTTTTATTTTAATACTTTAAGAAAAAAAAAACCCTTGTAAAATATTAATTAATTAACTTTTTTGTACATCGGTCAACTAATTGGTGACCGGTCAACAACTGGTGCATTTACCCTACCCCGGAGACAAAATTTTCTTTATTTTCTTAATAATAGTAAAAGAGATTAATAAATAAGTTAATATTTTCCAGCTGATGGCGACCTGGGTAATCTTCTTAAATATCTAAAACCACTTGGATACTTTGACACACCATTTTACAGCGACATCGAATGGTATAATCAAAAATATACTGGTAATAAATCCCACGTCTATAATACAAATAGCAATCTCATAAAAAAATTCAAATCTTTGTTGAATTTAACAAAAAAGGCTGAAGAAATAGATTCTGATAAAATTCTTATAAAAAAAGGTTTATGTTTGATTATAAATGAAAAAAATTTTCAAAACGACATTGTAAGTAGTTTCTCAAACAATGAATATAATTGATGCTTTACCAATAACCTAATTTTAGTATGAAGTCCGTCACGGCAGTCAAGCGGATGTGGATAATTTGAAGAAAACCTTCCAAGCTTTAGGTTTTATTGTGAAAGACTATGAAAATCGTCGAGCCATTGAAATTGCTAAAATTATTCACCAACATGCTAACGCAGAAAACAAACAATATGATTGTTTCGCCGTTTGTTTGCTGAGCCACGGATACCCAGGTAACCTAACCTAAAAATGACCACTTGAACAATGATGATTATTTACCTTTTTTGGGTTGTTTAAGATGGTATTTTGTCAATCGACGGGGAGGAAATATCATTTGAAGATATTGAGAAATGTATTTGTCAAAAAGAAGTTAAAAATACATTGAAATTGGTGATTGTTCAAGCCTGTCAAGGTCAAACAATGGGACTAAATTCTCCTAGAAACAAACTCGCTGTAGATGGAGTTGCAGTTAATAGTGCGAAGACTAAGCCATCTACAAGCTTGTTTACCGATGGCTACCCTTCAAAACCTGCTAAAAGTATTGATTATAGAAAAGAATTCCTTTTGTTTAAATCGACTATGAAAGGTTATGTTGCGATCAGACACAAAGAAGAAGGTAAACAATACCTTATATTTTTATTAAATAATACTAAAGTTAACTGATAGTAGAAAATTTTTTTTAATTTTGTAATAAAATTATTGTGAAGTCCCAAAAAACAAATAAAAAGTTAAAAAAAAGAAACAAATATTTATCAAATAATAAATCCAAAGTGATTAGTATGAATTAACAAAAAATAAATTCACACATTGAAACAATCAATATATAAAATTAAATAACATTAAATTTAGCAGTCACTATAATTTTTTAATTTTCTTTAACAAACAAATTTATTCCAAAAAATTATTCATAAAAAATTGCATTAAAGCTATATTCTTCCCCTTTTTTTTATCTCGTCAGGAACAAAATCATTATAATCATCGTCTAAATCATTATTACTGTCCATATTTATTACGGAGTAAGATTTTTGTTAAATTAAATACCGTTCAGAAAATATTTTACACCAGAATAATGTTTACGACTGAGCGAAATCATTAATAAAAAACATTTGAGAATCATTAATTGAGGTTTTAGCATACTTCAGATTGAATTATAACCGACAAAAAGATGTAATTTTAATTATTAATTATTTTCTAATTTTTCGGGGCTTTGAATGTTTTTAAATATATTTTTTTATTTTTTTTTGCTGTGAAAGTCAAATTTTTAAAGCAGAAATCTATGGATTGATCATAAATATGAGCCCGTAGCCTAAAAAATTCCTCTCTACTCGTTTCATAATTGTTTATTTTTTAAGTCAACAGTTGAGCGGGTCTTAAATACGAATTTAGGACACGCAGTGCTATAAAAGTTAATAATTGTTACCTTTATTAAGCGTAATAATGGCTTTTTTTTTTTTAAGGATCTTGGTTCATAAATGATGTTTGTAGTGTTTTAAATGAGTTTAAAACACAGTTGTCAATCGACGAATGGAGTCGACAGGTCAAGAAAAAAATTAGCTTGAGGCATGGAGACGTCGAAGGACACAAAGCTGCTGGTCAGCTTGCTGAGACTGAACGCGATCGGCGTACTAAAGAATATTTTTTCTTTAATCAGTTTAATTCATTTTAAACCAGTGATCTATATGTTTGTTTAAAACAACATATTGATTTACTAGGAACAAAAAAAAAAAAAACCGTACTGTACGAGTTTCACCATTTTCATTTAGTTTTTAAGTTACAAGATTTTAGTGAAATTTTTCAGCTATTTAAAATAGTATCAAAATTTTCAACTAATTTATTTTAAAGAAAAAGTTTTATGATGAGTATATTGCGTTACTAATGCCAAAAAAGCGTGTAGAAAAAAAATTTTTTTCCTCCAACCAACCTAAAAATGTTTATAGCATTCAGATCTGTAAGAAAAGTGAATAAAAAATTTTTTTTTGTATACGCCTTTTGGCTCTAAGACAAAAAATTTTAAAGCCAAAAGAGCGTGTCATTTTTTTTTTTTAATCATACTTAACTATTAGTCTTAAAAAAAAAGTTATAACACCGGTAAAAATAATGACTTTTTAACTAATTTTATTTTTAAAAAATATGGATTTGATTAAAGAAGAAACTAAATGTTATAAACATTTTTAGGATAGTTGGGGTGAAAAAAAATTTTTTTATTAACGCGATATTTTAATGATTGAAAGGTTAATTTTTACTTAATATATAATTTAAATTTTTTGTTATTATTAACTACCGATTTGTGATGAGTTAAGTTTTTAATTTTAATATATTTTATGATAAAAATATAAATCTACTCAGTGATAAAAAAATTAATGAAAAATTTAAATTTTAATTTTATGCATTAAAAATCATAATATAATTATGATAAAAAAAATTTTCAAAATACTAAACATAATTTTAAGTTTTAAATAAAATTTTTTAAGCATGAAATGTTATTAAATATATAAAATGTGATTTATAATTTTTTATGGCAATAAATAAAATACTTAAAAATTTTTTTTAATTTTCTAAGGTTGAAAAAAAAAACTCGAAAATTTATTGTACATATATTTATATTTATTGCTCTATTACTTTAATTATTTATAATCGCTCTTAAACTCACTCAAAAAATCACTCGCCATTTAAACTAACAATTTGTTCATTATTACCCACAAAAAAAAAAATTCTATTTCAATATTTCTTCCTTGATTCACAACAAATTTTATTACTTCAATAATTGCTAATTATAAAAATTTATACAGATAACAAAAATTTGAATAAAATGAGCTAAAGTTCTGTGTAAGTAAATAATCAACAATATAAAAATAATTTAATGGACTTTATTTTTATAGCTAGCAAAACGCTCAACGAAGCTATAAAAGTTTGAAAATTTATATACAGCTAAATAAATAATCGCTAAATAAACCGCAATAGCAATTGTCAAAAATAAATCGAATATTGCTGGCTTAACACTGTAAACATTCATTATTGTTTTGGTGTTGTCATAAAACACAAACTCAGGATCTCTTTTGTCAGCAGAGTAGTAATTAATTTTAACGTCACTCAAGTACCTCTGCATGTATTCATGCAACGAATTAACCAGCGGATTGTTTGAGTTTTTGCTGTCTGATAAAATTGGCACCGACCGCGACTGAGACGTCAAGTAATTAAACCAAACATTTAATGAAGTTTTGGACACTGCGACAGGCGTCGACAATATTTCCGTGGAATTTAAGTTGTAGATCCGACGCGCCAGTGCTTCGCCGACTAATTTAGTATTTCTGTGCAGCCTATCTAATTTTTTATTGTCATTTATGTCGAGTATCGACGCTCTCAAAGGATTATCGTGACTTCTCAGAGAAGATATTGTCACCGCTGGCAAGCGTCTTATGCTGTAGCGCTCGTGCTCCCAAGCCAAAGACTCGTCGGCTAGGTTTATTTTTTTATGAATACCTTCTAGGCTCACGTTGTCTTCAGTCTTGGAGTTGTAGCTCTCGATTACAGTCTTCAGCTCGTTGTAGAATAAGTAACCGAAGGAGTTTTCTTTTGGAGGCTTTGACACGTGCAGGTAGAGATTGTCTGTTAGAGACAAGGCGTCCAAACAGAGAACGTATGATGCGTCCTGAAATTTACATTAATATTAATTTTTTACTTAGTAATATTGTACGGCCCGGAATATTTTAACTAATTAATTCAATTGAAAATTAAAAAAAAAATTTTTTTTAACAAAAGTTGAAATTAATTATAGCTAGCATCCTTGCGGTCACTTTGTGACTTGTGAAATATAAATAAATAAAATGTTGCTTTGTTAAATAAAGACTTTTGTTAAATTGCACTGTAATTTCTTAAATATTGATGTTTTTAAAGATATAAGCTCATCTCGATGTTACACTCGTCGAGACCTTTTATTTGAGTACCCACATGCATTTTTGATATATTTTTCATATATACATATATATAATATATATAAATATATGAAAAATTGATGTGGGTACTCAAATGAAAGGTCTCGATGAGTGTAACATCGGGATGAGCTTATATCTTTAAAAATGTCATTAGTTGACAAGATAGCAATGTCAGTTCTTAATTATTGACATTTTTAAAGATATAAGCTCATCCCGATGTTACACTCATCAAGAGCTTTCATTTAAGTACCCACATGCATTTTGATATATTTTTCATATATTTATATATATATAATATATATAAATATATGAAAAATTGATGTGGGTACTCAAATAAAAGGTCTCGATGAGTGTAACATCGGGATGAGCTTATATCTTTGAAAATGTCAATAGTTCACGAGATACAAAGTCATTTCTTAATTTAGTATCTAGAAATAGAGCATTTTCAAATGCAGCCTGAATACTTATCATTATCATCATAAATTGATTATTTCAAACCCATTTTATCATATAAATACACTTGCCACAAAATTTTGCTTATTCTCTTTTAATGATATAGATTTTTAAATTTTGAGTAAAAAATTATTCTTAACTAATTTTTTTAGATTTTTAATAAATTTTTCTACAATTAAAATTTTATTTTTTAGTTTTTAAAAAATAAAATTTCAAGAATTATTAAAATTGAAATTTTTTAATCTTGAAGTGTAAAAAGAATTTTAGCTAATTTCTAAGAAATTTTTTTTCAATTAAAAAAATTTTTTTTTAGCTTTTAAAAAATTACAAAAATAAAAATAAAATTACAACTTTTTAATTTTTAAGTGAAAAATGACTTAGCTAATTTTTAAGAATTTTTTTTTTCAGTTTTTTAAAAAAAAAGAACTTGAAATAATTTTCTTAAAAAATTTTAATTTATTACAATTTTTTAAATGTGAGAGTGAAAAAATAATATTTAACCAATTTGCTTATAGATTTATAATGATTTTCTCTGAAATTAAAATTTTTTTTTTTGTTTTTTAAAAAATAGAATTTAAAAACATTTTCTTCAAAGATTAAAAAAATTTTAATTAATTACAACGTTTAAATCTTCGAGTAAAAAATGATTCTTATGCAATTTTTTTTCAAGTTAAAAAAAAAATGTTTTAATCTAAGAAAAAAAAATTTTTTTCAATTCTGACAAAGATTCAAGATATTAATTTTAGAATTTTTTATACTAAAAAAAAATTACCTGACCGTAAAAGTGAAAAATTTCTAAACATTACTTCAAAATGAACATTTTTAAATCTAAATAAAACTTACCTGAATAACAGAGCCTTCCAGACCATCAAATTGATCTTCGAGCCATTTTTTACTTCCATAATAATTCAATTTACCTCCGCCACTCAGTACAAACACAACATTAAATTTTGGTCGTGATTTACCAATTGAATACAAAGCTGAAAATATCCTCGCTAGTTCTAACAACATTGACACACCTGACGCATTACTCTCCGCACCCGTAGACAGTTCCTGTAACAATAAAAATATAAATTATTATAAATTCCAATCTTACCGCTCCTTAATTTTTATTATATATATATACAAAAAAAAATTTTACCGTAACGACACTTGAGCTATCGTAATAAGCAACCAATGCAATTGTCGGCAGTTTGTCCTCAGCACCAGTACCAGATAATCTACCATGAATTGTCGCTATCTTGACGTCATTACGAGGAATTGGTTGACCCGCACTAACAATAACTTGATAACCACTAGCTGAGACAATATCAATCAACGACTGAATCTCGGAACTAGTTTTTACTCCGTTGTTATTTGTAGAAAATCCGACCTCCAAATCAGTTATTATTGATTTTAGATTGTCGTTCCATGGTGAGAAATATACTGGGATTGCTACTTCTCCGCTTGTTAGCATAGTTGTTTCTAGTAATTGTATTGCCTGGAATAAATCAAATTTTATAAATCATTCTGTTAATTAAATTAAAGATTAATTACTTAAGAACGATGTTACACTCATCAAAAGCTTTCATTTGAGTACCCACATGCATTTTTGATATATTTTTCATATATACATACATATATATAATATATATAAATATATGAAAAATTGATGTGGGTACTCAAACGAAAGGTCTCGATGAATGTAACATCGAGATGAGCTTATATCTTTAAAAATGTCAGTAATTGACAAAATACAAGGTCATTTCTTAATTATTGATATTTTTAAAGATATAAACTCATTTCGATGTTACACTCATCGAGACCTTTCATTTGAGTCTCGATTGAATGTAACATCGAGATGAGCTTATATCTTTAAAAATGTTCAGTAATTGACAAAATACAATGGTCATTTCTTTAATTATTGATATTTTTAAAGATATAAACTCATTTCGATGTTACACTCATCGAAGACCTTTTATTTAAGTACCCACATGGCATTTTTTATATATTTTATATATATGGTATTTGTGAAATATATAAATATATTAAATATATGAAAAATTGATGTGAGTACTCAAATGAAAGGTCTCGATAAGTGTAACGTCGGGGTGAGCTTATATCTTAAAAAATGTGAGTAGTTGACAAAATACAATGTCATTTCTTAATTATTGACATTTTTTAAGATATAAGCTCATCCCGATGTTACACTTATCAAGAGCTTTCATTTGAGTACCCACATGCATTTTAATATATTTTTCATATATACATATATATAATATATATAAATATATGAAAAATTGATGTGAGTACTCAAATGAAAGATCTCGATAAGTGTAATGTCGGAGTGAGCTTATATCTTTAAAAATGTCAATATTTCATAAGATACAAGGTCATTTCTTAATTATGTATCTAGAGATAGAGCATTTTCGAATGCAGCCTAAATACTTGTCATAATAAATTGACTATCAGTAGGAATGAATTGAAATTTTGAAAAGGCACTAATTCAAGTCAAGAATTTTGCAATGACACTAAATTTCACTAAAAAAAACCGATTTTATCATATGACTATCCTGGACACAAAATTTTTCTTATTCTCTTAATATCATAGATTATAAAAATATAAATTTTGAACAAATTCAAGATGTAAAAAAATTTTTTTTTTTTTAATAAATATTGTGATGATTCAAAAATTAGAAAAAAAAAATTCTTTGATTTTTAAAAATATAAAATTTTTAGACTTTCTTATCAAATTCTTATCTTGATATTTATTTAACGACATTAAATAAAAAACGTGTGAAATAAAACATCTTATCAGGCTCGAAAAATCATTATCAAATTTTTTTTTTGAGTTTTTCTATTTAAATTTCTTAATTATTAATTTTTTTTTTTTTTGATAAAAATTAGATATTATATTTCAACTTAAAATTATGGTGAGAAACTTTTTTTTTATTTGAAAAGAAAAAAAAATAAATTTTCAAACTTAAAAAAAAATTTTATGGCATTAAAGTTAGCCGTCACTTGATAATTTTTAAATTTTATTTAATGAAGAAATTATTTTTGAAAAATTATTTTTAAAAAATTGCCTTTATAATTTTTTTAAATTTCTGCATGTCAATATTTTTTTGCCATAATTTATTTGTTAAAAGAAATTCTAAAAATTATTAAATATCTGCTAAATTAATTATCATAAAAATTTTTTAAAACACTCCTGATAATAATAACTAAATAATATTAAAAATAAATAATTTAATTATACCTGCTGTTGATCAATAGTTAAATTAGTCATATCTTTAGGAAGCATAATAACTAATGCTCCAGCTTTATTTTTAATTGTATAAAATAAATCAGGTGTCAAATCATTAAGTCGTGCAATAACGCAGTGCCGGGATGTGCGCCAATTACTTAATCCACGTGCTTCCAACAGTACTGATGCACTTCTGCAACCTGAAATTTATTTTAAAAATTAGTAAAAATAATTTTCATTAAATAAATAAATTTTTAATAAAATTGAAATTTATTATAGTTAAAATAAAATTCCAATCATTATTTTAAAAAACTGACAGTAATTAATAATAAACAAATTTTTTTAATGAAAATTAATTTAGCATCTATTTAATAATTAAAAAAATTTTATAATAAATAAATAATGGCAAAAAAAAATTAGAAAAAAAATAGACAGAAAAATTTTAAAAAATAAAAAATGCAATTTTTTATAAATAATTTTTTAGAACAATTTTTTTAGTAAAATAAAACTAAAAAATTGTTTAACTTTAATGTCATTTTTTAAAAATATTAATATGTTAATTTTGAAGTTAATTTTTTATAAAAATAAAATTATTTGACGACTGTCAATTTTTTTAAATTGCTGAGTTAATTAAAATCAATAATCAATAAATTATCTAAAAATAAAAGAAAATATAATATTAAAAATAATTATTTAATAAAATAAAATAATTTATAAAATACCATGAGGAATTCCGTGTAAATCATACTGATGCATACGATAAACAGGTAATTCATGTGAAGCAGCCACCGGATTTACCGGAGATACAACAATAAAAATAGGTAATACAATTAATAAATAATAGGGCAAGTAGCTGCGACAGAGTTCGGCAAAACTATCGCACTGTTCTAACCACATTATTACTCGGTTTGTTGTTATTCCAAAAAAACTTAAATTTATAACATAAATTTATCTGCTAATTTATTATTAACACTTTCAATAACTTTTTGCATTTAAATTCACACTTTTTCACTATTTAAAACTTTATTATTTTATAAACATTATTTAATAATTACAATTAATGTTTTAATCTCAGTCAGGAGTCAAGTCACGGCTCTCCACGTCCTCGGTTATAGTTTTATTTTTCTAGTAACTTTTTGGCGGTGAGAAAATTTAAAAATTTTTACTCCCTAGATCCTAGAAATTTTTTTTCTTTAGTTTTGTTTTTTTTCTGCTGTAATTTTTTTTTTGGAAAATTCGAAAATGAATAATTGTTTCAATTTTTAAGTGTCAATTATTTAATATAAATTTTTTTTTTTATTTTTCAGGTGTCATTATAGTGACAGCTGATGCGCATGCGCAGAAAATAAAATAACTTGAGAGAGGAAAGTTGAGACATTTAATTTCCATGCGTGTTTCCACGTGTAGTTAAATTGAGGTTACTTAATTGTTTTTTTTTTGGAGTTAAAATAATTATTTTATTAAATAATGGAAGATATAGAAAGTAAAAATTCAGATGACAGTCAAAGTGAATTTTTGAATAAAGAAGTGGATGATAATGAAGAGAAAAAAAATGTTAATAAGAAGAAAAAGAAGCCTGGTATTGTTTATCTATCACAAATACCTAAATATATGAATTGTGCGATTTTGAAAAATCTTTTGTCTGTACATGGAGAAATTGGTCGGGTTTATTTACAATTAGCACCTAAAGATGGTAAATATTTATTTATTTTTTTTTACTGTAATGACTTACGTCTGGCAATTAGTTTTTTGTATTCTTGTAATTGTTAAATTGACAGTCACTTGATTTTTTTTTGGCATAAAAAATAAAAATTAATTTAGCAGATATATAATAATCTTTATTATTAAGAGAATAAGAAAAATTTTGTTTCCAGGATAGTCATATAATAAAATCGGTTTTTTTAGGAAAATTTAGTGTCATTGCAAAAGTCTTGATTTGAATTTGTGACTTATCAAGGTTTCATTTCATTCTCACCGATAGTTAATTTATTATGATAAGTATTTAGGCTACATTCGAAAATACTTTATCTGCAGATATATAATTAAGGAATGACCTTTTATCTTGTGAACTATTGATATTTTTAAAGATATAAGCTCATCCCGATGTTACACTCATCAAGAGCTTTCAGTTGAGTGCCCACATGCATTTTTGATATATTTTTCATACATA